CAGCGCGAAACCCCTTGTGGGACCTGGTCTCGCACGATCGGCTCAGATCCTTCATCCCCCTTGAGATCCGCCCCCCTCTCCTGTTAAATTCTCGCGGAGGGGAGGCGCTTGGGACGGGAAGGGCCAGCCATCCCACACCATTCAACCTTGGCAAGCCAAGGCAGCGGATCGATCCGGTTCGTTTTGTTAGAGTGATGGGAACGGAATGTGGGAGGGCCCTTTTGGCCCGATGATAAAACCTGAGTGCCAAATCTTATCTTTTCGCGAAGCCATGGGCCAACGCCCCCTTAGCCCGCACACCGTTTTTTTTCGCAGGGTGAACCCCGATCCACGATGAGCGGTTCAGCGAACAGGAGTTCTTCGCACCTCGTTCATGGTCTCGGTCAGGACTTGTTGCCGGCTGAGCCGGGTGAAATTCGGTGCTCGCTGGACTGAACTGGATTGACTTGGGCTGAGGTGATTGAACTGGAGAAGCACTTTTGACAACACGATTCCAACCGTTCGGGCACGACCGCAACCGCAATTAGGTGACACATTTCAACCCGCCCGCGGGCGCAACCGCAACCGCAAATAGGCGACACATGTCAACCAGCCCGCGGGCGCAACCGCAACGGCAATTAGGCGACACATTTCAACCTGGCCGCGGGCGCAACCGCACTCGCAACCGCAACCGCCGTTAGGCGACACATTTCAACCAGCCCGCGGGAGCAACCGCAACCGTAATTAGCCGACACATGTCAGCCCGCCTTCGAACGCAACCGCAACCGCAACGGCAACTAGGCGACACATTTCAACCTGGCCGCGGGCACAACCGCAACGGCAACTAGGCGACACATTTCAACCGCCTGCGGGCGCAACCGCAACGGCAACGGCAATTAGGCGACACATGTCAACCCGCCCGCGAGCGCAACCGCAACCGCAACCGCAAAATAGGCGACACATGTCAACCAGCCCGCGGGCGCAACCGCAACCGCAAAATAGGCGACACATGTCAGCCCGCTCGCGAGCGCATTCGCAACCGCAACGGCAACTAGGCGACACATTTCAACCTGGCCGCGAGCGCACCCGCAACCGCAACAGCAAGTAGGCGACACATTTCAACCCGCTCGCGGTCGCAACCGCAACGGCAAAATAGGAGACACATGTCAACCCGCTCGCGGGCCCAACCGCAACCGCAACAAGGCGACACATTTCAACCCGCCCGCGGGCGCAACTGCAACTGCAACTGGGCGGAATCGGTTGAAATTCCATACTTTCTGCACTGAATTGGTTTGATTTGGAGTGAACTGGTTGAACTGGGGAAGCACTTTTGGCAACGCATTTCAAACCGCTCGGGCGCAACCGCAATCGCCACTAGGCACACATTCCAACCACCCCGCGGGCGCAACCGCAACCGCAACTACGACACATTTCAGCCCGCTCGCGGGCGCAACCGCAACCGTAACTCTGCGACACATTTCAACCCGCCTTCGAGCGCAGCCACCACCGCAACCGCAACTAGGCGGAGACTGGTGAAATTTCATTCCCTAAGCTGATTGAACTGGAGGGGCAATTTTCAGTACACCTTTCAAACCTCTCGGGCGGCCCGCGCGCGGCAGGCAGGCCTGAGGAGGCTGCCTGTGCGTTGAAACCGAGAGCCCAAGTTCTCGGAAGTTCTCGGAAGCCGAAGAGGGGGAGGAGGAGGATGAGAGGGAGCAGAATGGGCAGGAGCACGAGAAAGAGGAGGAGGGGGAGGAACAGGAGACGAGGGGTAGGAGGATGAGGAGCAGAAGGTGCAGGAGCACGAGGAGGAGGAGGAGGAGAAAGAGGAGGAGGAGGAGGAGGAGGAGGAGGAGGAAGAGAGGGAGCGGGAAGAGGAGGATGGGCAGGACTTGAACAGTGGGATGCAGCGGTGGTCGTGTTCCAGGGGGTTGCAGGAGCACGTGCCGGTGGAGGGGAAACCCAATGGCACGATAGAAAGATTGAGGTCCAGGAGGACGCGAAGGAGGAGGAGGAAGACGAGGAGGGGGAGGAGGAGGACGCTTTGCTCACGGTTCTCCGCCGGGACACTGCAGCGGGGAATCCCCATTCCACGCTGCTGCATTCGGTTTTAGCGCCTGAGGGCCCAGCAGCGGTCCCGTGTGTCGAGGGCCCTCGACAGCGTTTTGCATTGATTTGCGCTGCAGGCGCTCGAGGCATGGACTCGGGCGCCACTCGGTACAGTACAGGGAAGATGGGAGTGAAGCAGGGGGTGAGGGGGAGGGGGGGGAAGTGGAGGAAGAGGGGGAGGGGAGAGAGAAGATCAGGACGATGATCAATGCAGGCATTTCGAACGCGTCAGCGTGCCCCCGCCCTCTTCCACCCTCCCTCCCAGAACATAGGAACCAGCCCTGGCGCTCCTTGATCTCGGGTCTGGCTTCTGTTCCCCTTCTAGGGAGCGGATGGAGCTCGCGCGCGGTCCCGCTTCCGGCGACCTGGCGAGTTGGGACGCACGGACCGCACACGGCCGGGACCAGAATCTCGGATCAAATGTGCGCCGCGTTGCTGCGTCAGAGCCCTCGTGTTTTCTCCCGCGCGAGCAGATTCCCGACGAGAGCAGCGAAGACTGAGCATGCGTTGCAGCCACCGCCGCTCTTTCTTTGCGACCCGTGTGCGAGCACCACGTATCGGAAGCTGGGCGAGGGCTGGCAAACCAGTGGCTGCTAAAACGGTCTTCCCGGAAGAAAAACAGTTCAGCGCGCTAAGTAGTAAACAGGCTGCTTCCCGGAAGGGAAACAGTTTCCCGGAGCTCCGTTTTAGCAGCTACGGGTTTGCCAGCCTTCGCCCGGCTTCTGAACATATCTCGCCCGCTGCCGCGCGCGGCCCCGCTCCCAGCGAGTCCTGGCCGGTGGCAGAAATATGCACCGGGCCAGAGCGGGAGCACCGCCTTTTCGGGCGGAGTCTGCGAGACGCTTGGGCGAGAGTTGGATGTTGCCCTCTCGCGAGTGACCCCGGTGTCGATAGAGTAGCAGGCGAAACATGTGCGCCGTTCCGAGGCGGCTGGTGATCGTTTTCTTATTCATTGTTTTGCCGATCGGCGCGGGCCCCCAACCCCGCCCCCCCCCCATGGAGTAGATCTTGGCTGTTTTTTGGCGCCTGCTTCGAGCAGGTGGAGTCACCCCCATAGGACGCACGGTCCCAAACCGTCGCACGAAGCACCAAGCAGAGGCCCAGAGCCAGACCCCCCCCCTCCCCCCCTTCCGCCCAATGTCGAAGCGCCGAAGAAAAAAACGATCACGTTCCTCTAGGCCTCCTAGATGGGGTCGGAGTAGATGGGGTCGAAGGATCGCTCCGCATCGCCGATGCATCGGCGATGCGGCTCGATGTGGAGCCCGGATTGCTTTACGTCGGCGTCGCGGATGCATCGCCCATGTCGACGATGCATCGCCGGTGCATCGCCAATACATCGCCGATGCATCGCCGATGTATCGGCGATGCGGCGCGATCCTCCGACCCCATCTACTCCGACCCCATCTAGGAGGGCTCTAGTTCCGAGGCGGGAGCGCAATGCTCGTGAGGCATGAGTGCGGCCCCCGTTCGCCCGCGATGTGTGCCGCGTCCTGCTCCTGCCACGCACTTTCCATCGTCGGCGACCAGACGTGCATGCTGAGATAAACACGTCGGCTTCGTATTGGTGTACAGTCGGGGCCCTGAAGAAGGAACCCTTTTGGTTGGGGAGGGGCTCCGCGTTCCTTAAAAGTGTTTCACAGCTTGCCTCAGGTTTTCCTTATGTTTTCGATCGGAAATCGAAGTTTCACTTATGGAAAAAAGGGGCCTCGTTCCTTATTCAGGGTTCCTTAGGTCAAGGCCCCGACTGTAGAAGTGCAGGGTGGAAGGGGCCCGATCGGGCAGTGTGATCGGAAAGCTGGGTGGCAGAGTGGGAGAACACGGCAGACCCCAACATAGAGAAGGGATGAGGAAAAGGATGGGCGAGTCACACGGATGGGGAGGAAGGGCATGAGGATAATGAGTGGTTGGATTCAGTAGTGCGGAAGCCAGTCCGCATTATCATCGTCATTCCTCCGTCATCTCGTGGAGCAGTGTTGTTGCGCATCGTTGCCACCGTCTTGAGCGACACTATCGGGAACGAGCGTGAGCATCAAATCGATGATTTCTGTTCAAATTCACGTCTGGTATGGAGAGGAGGAGGAAGAGGAGGAAGAGGAGGAGGAGGAGGAGCAGGAGCAGGAGGAGGAACGAGAAGGATGGGAGGGGGTGAACGGGGAGGGGAAGATCGCCTCCTCCCCCGTCTTCTCCCCTGGCGGCAGCGCGCCAAGACGAGGGGGCCGCCTTGTACCTCGGGGTCCGCACGGGTGGCTCCCTACGGGCCACCTCGAGCGCGAGCTCGAGCAGGTCTTCACTGCCGAAGCAGCGCGCCGCGCTCATCGATCGTCCCTAGGATGATTCCCGGCAGCTTCGATCCCAGAGATCCGAGGCTCCGAGCAGACTGGAGCGGCCAGTTGGGGGCCGCTTCTGGCCCCCCATCGGGGGCCCTCGACGGGCCCCGGCACCGTCGAGGAAGGATGCAGCACAGAAGACCGAGCTCACAGGCGGTGGTCCAGACCTCCCGGGGGACCCACGCACCGAAGAAGTTGGAGCGCTGTGATTCAGAGCGTGAATCACCTACCCCGCTTTCGCTTCCAGACAGAACCAAGCCATACCACGCGCCTCCTCGTCAAGCGGCCTGACCAGCGCAGGCCGTAGTTTGGCATCGTTTGGTATCTCTTGGAAGCGAGGGTGGTCAAAAGCGAGGTAGGCTTGTTTTCCCCCTAGTGATGCCATTGTCTTGTCTGGCCTTGTCCCCCTGCCCAGCAGGGCCCGGACGGGCCTCCCGGGTGCCCGGGATCTTTCACCCTTCCGAGCACTTGCCGCTGCTCGTCGACGATGGCGGCGGCGACGACGACGAGGACGACGACGAGCACGGCGACGGCGACGGCGAACACACGAGACGATGGCGGCGAGTGCGGCGCACCTCCAACGAGGTGCAGTCGTTCCGCTCCGACTCGGACCGCTCCCGCCGCGGCGAGGTGCAGTCCTTCCGCTCCGACTCGGACCGCTCGCGCCAGCGGTCGCTGGGCGGGGGTGTGGGGTGACGCTGGCGCCGCCGTCGTTCAGAACCAGCGCCTGTGTCATGTGTCCTGACCTGAGGTCCTGGCGTTGCAGTGGCGCTCTCGCCCAGCCTCGGGTCATGGGTCCATCCCAGGCCTATCCAGCTCGAGCAAAGGTGCCACAGAAAAAGTGGTTCAGGGTTTCGGTGGTGATGTTTCGTGAACTTGTATTCTTCCCGGCGACATTTCTCCCCGAACTCCCGATCATCCGACGACACATGAAGCCGCTCAGAAAGGGAGGGGAACCCTGCGATGTACCCCGAGGGGGCCATTCGGACGCACCCCGATCGAGGATGGACAGCCCCCCCATCGTGTGCCCCAGCGTCGGGCCCCGAACTCCTGGTCCACTCGAAAACCTCCCGCAGCCTGGCACGGGGGTCGACACGACCCGGGGTGCCTCGCCCCAGTGAGCCTCCCCCGCCCGCCGCGCTCACCCGCGGAGGGAGAGAGAGAGAGAGAGAGGAGGAGGAGGAGGAGGAGGAGGAGGAGGAGGAGGAGGAGGAGGAGGAGGAGGAGGAGGAGGAGGAGGAGGAGGAGGAGGAGGAGGAGGAGGATCCTGCTCGGAGTAGATGGGGCTTCGGGCAGGGTTCAGGGCTTCTGGCTTACACCACGTATTAGGGTCTGCGGGCCTCGCCATGGGTCCATCTGTGTTGCGCCAGTCGGCGTCGTTACGGTCCTTCGCAACAGAAGCAATGAAATCAGTTCGCGCAGACCTTGAATACGTTGTGTGTTTCGTCTTGAGGGTTTAGGGTTTAGGGTTTAGTTTCCACTCGCCCAAGCTTGAAGCCTGTTGGACGTGTCCCACCCACCCATGACCCAAAACATGTTGATCTCAAAACGACGACGACAATACCGATGACGAAGACGACGATATTGATTTCAACACGACGACGACGACGACGGAAGTCGCGCAAAGTCTTCTGGGAAGCCGCTGCAACGGCGATGTGGCACGCGCGCGCGACGACGCGGTTTGAAGAACAACGTATATTTACGCGAGTCCCTTTGCCTCGCAGGGACGCCGCCCAGCGGCGGTGATATTGCATGGAGTGGCTGCGCAACGAGCGCGGGATAGCTCGTTGCCTCGAGGAGACGGATCCCCAGTTCGCATCCATAGCTCTGCGGCACGGTGCGCGAAGGACGATGCAGGGGCGATGCGACGCAAGCACGCGAAGCGACAAAAACGAGCAGCTCCCCGCAGCAACTTACCGACGATTTGGCGATGCATACCCCGGCTTGCCACAAGGCGCGCGGAATTGTTCGTTGCTTGGCGAGAGCGCTCCCCCGCGACGCGGCGCGCGAAGGCCGATGCATGGGCGATACGACGCGCGCGCCGGCGCTCTCGAACCCACGACGACGAACGCGGCGGAGTTGTGCCCTGCGATTTGCCAAAGCTCCCGGAACACCGTTCCTGGCACTCCGAGGGCAAGGATCTGCGTGAGGGGTGTGCCAAAAAGGGGGGCGGCGGAAGGGGCACCGCAAGGGCGGCATACGGTACGGCATTTAAGGTTTTAAATATTTGTAAGCTCTTAACTCCCACGGCTTAGGCCGAGGTGGAGAACCTCTCTAGGTCGAGAATCCGATTTCCGAGGTCGAGAATCATCAGCACTCCAGGACGAGAATCAGTATTCCCAGGTCGAGCATCAGCAGTTCCCTTGGCATCGGCCGGGTTTGTGCATTTTTTCGATGGCGAGGACCATCGAGGAACATCATCCTGGACCACCTGGCAACAAAACACGCACGACAACAACAAATGCCCGGGGAATGGACGTCCGAGCGATTGCAAGGATGGGGTCTGAGTGGATGGGGCGTATGGTCCAGGGTTTCGGGTTTGGGGTTTTGGGTGTCGGCCTTAGTGGAGGGCCTCTCAAGGTCGAGAATCAGTACTCCAAGGTCGAGAGGCAGTACCCCTGGTCAACTATCAGTGCTCCCTGGTCGAGAATATGTACTCGCAGGTGGGAAGGTTTGTGTACATATCCCCTGCGTCTTGGCGTTGCGGGCCCCCTCTCCCAGAAGCCTGGGCCGCAGCGGGTGTGGATCACAATCTCCCCCCGGGGGCCAGATTTTTATACATGTCCACTGCTTCTTGGTTTTTTTGGCGCCCATGCCCAGTCCGAATCGCAGATGGGGTTCGAGTGTTGCGCCCCATCGCCAATGCTTAGGCGATGCGGCTCGATGTGGAGCCTGGTTTTCTCTTAGCCGACGTCGGCGATGCATCGCCGATGCGATGCGATCGGCCCCGCCTACTCGGACCCCATTTGGGAGGCCTCTAGGTACGTTCCAAGATTTCCTAGATGTTACCAAACGTTCTAATGTTCCACTCCGCCTGCAGAAACGCGGGCCGCTAGCCGCCTACAGAAACGAGGGCCGCTAGATACTCCATAATATTTGGAGCATGTCCTCCGCCCATCGCATGATGAAATCGTTATCGCCCTTGTTACTGCGAGTGTGCCGCCGACCCCCTTCGCTAAGACGAGGAGGAGCAAAAGGAGGAAGAGGAGGACGACGAGGAAGAGGATGAGGACAAGGAGGAGCCAAATAAACCAAGAGGAAGCCAAGTGGCAGCGTCGCGGAACGAAACCCACATTGCGTCCGACGGCACGTGCCGACGGCCATCAGCGGGCTACGATTCTGTGGCAACTGAGGTACGGCGCTGTTGGCAAGCCAGAGGCGGTGTAACCTGCGGTGTTGGGTGGATGAAGTGACACAGTCTTCTGTTACTGTGAACCCTTCTCTTGCCCCACAGAATGAAGTTTTTCGCAGCCAGGGTTCCCGTCTTGGTTTCCATGCGATCTCAGTGAAGCCGGCGACGACGACGACGACGACGACGACGACGACGACGGTTGCCAGTGTCTAGGCTTTCTCGAGGCGTCCGCCACCTCGACGCCACTACCACCACCACCACCACCACCACCACCACCACCACCACCACCACCACCACCACCACCACCAGGGGGGCCACCTTCAGCGAGGAGGTCCACGATGCCTCCCCAAGCTGGGGATATAAAGTGTCTCGAGCGAGAAGGGGGTGGGGTGGGGGAGAGGGGAGGGAAAAAAACACCGGGAGGATCCCCCCTGCTCGCTCCTCCCGCCGGCGGTCCTTGGTGGTTGTGCTGTCGCTGATCCTTGTTTCTATCTGGGGTCTCGGGGAGCGATCTGACCCCTGAGCCGCTCGCTCAGTCCTCCCTTTTTCGGCCGCGCCCTCCCCCCGCTCCTCCTCGCGCATGGTGGCACAGCTCGCTCAGACGGCATCTCCGTTTGAGCATCTCATCGCCAGCGCAGACGTCCCCTGCCCAGCCGCCGACGCAAAACATGCTTCTCTCTGGGGGAAACTCCTGGACTCGAGGGCGCCGCGAGCGACGCCGACCTCGGAGTGCTTGCGGGCAGCTGTTCTCGACGTGTGGCGCCGTCGCCCTCGGCTCCCGCACCCCCCGCTCGCCCCACCGCCCAACGTGTTGTCCCACCTGCCCCGCTCTTGGCATCGCTCGGACGTGTGCATTTTTCTTTCGGCGAGGACCATCGAGGAGCATCCTTGATCATTTCGCAAAAAAAAAAAAAAAAAAAAAAAAAACACGCACGAAACCGACAAAAACACAGGAAATGGACGTCCGAGCGATGGCCAGCGCTCGTGCCGGTCATCGAGGACGCCTACAGTCGAGGCGGATCGATAAGGTCGACCCTGCCACATCGAGGGTGCCCTGGTGTCCTGAGCTCCGCGACCAGGGCGTTCTTACGCTCCTATGGCAATGGGGCCCTCGGTAGGGTCTTGTGTCCTCTCGCGTGTCTTCTCCAATCAACCCCGACTCTCTCTCTCTCTCTCTCTCTCTCTATATATATATATATATACATATAACGGCCGGGGGCCCGGGGCCGGGACCTCGACCGCAAATGTGGGCTCTGGGGGGCCCGGAGGCTCGTCGGGGCTTGCCGGAGGCCTCCCCGGTCAGACAAGAGGGCCCCAGAAGCGCCCAAGACGGCCCAAGAAACTTCCAAGAGGCCTCCAAGAGGGCTCCGAGATGCTGAAGATGGCCTCCAGACGTCCAAGGACGCCCCCAAGAGGCCCCAAGAAGCCTCCAACATGCGTCCCAAGAGGGCCCCTAGACGCAAAAAATTGCCCATTCCCTTCGTAAAACGTACATTTTCAACAAAGTTGCCTTTTGGGCTTTCCGACGTTACAGGACGGCCCAAGAGGCGCCCAAGACCGCCCCAAGACGGCCCAAGAAGCTTCCAAGAGGGCCCCAGGACAGCCCAAGAGGGCCCCAAGACGGCCCAAGAGGCGCCCAAGATGGCCCAAGAGGGCCCCAAGACGGGCCCAAGAGGGGGCCCAGAGGGGGACCACGAACCGCAAGCTCGAGCCTTCCGCCCCAAGAGGCCGCCAGGAGGCCCCAAGGAGGCCCCTCAAGAGGCCCCAGGAGACCCCCAAGAGGCCCAAAGGAGGCCCCGAGAAGCCCCAAATCGGCCCCCAAATGCTTCGAACCTGCTTCCAGGAGGCCCCCGACAGGTTCAGAGGCTCCCAAGAAGCTACGTCAAACTCCCAGCGAGCGGCCGGACGAGGCCCCCAACAAAAATCCCAAGAGGGTTCCAGCATTTGTATCCTTCAGCGCTCTCTGGCCTTCTTTCCCCTGCCCCCTTCCCTGCGACTTTCGTTGACTCAAGCTCGCCTCCTCTCCATTTCCTCTCTCTGCCTCTCTATCTCTCTCTCTCTCTGTCTTCTTCTCTCTCTCTCTCTATCCATCTCTCTTTTTTTTTTTTCTCTCTCTCTCTCTCTCTCTCCTTCGCTCTCTGTCTGTCTGTCTCTCTCTCTCTCTCTCTCTCCCTCTCTTTCTCTCTCTTTCTCTTTCTTCCTTTCATATTCCGTGTCCTTGCGACCTTCTGCAGTCCCCGACGTCGCCACGGCTGGATTCGCTCGAGCGTGTCTTGTGATGTGCGGCGGTGCGAAGCCCGTCCCACTGATCAAGGCACA